ACCTTATTCAACAAAATTTATCTCATATGTATCTAATAAAGAGAGAGAGAGAGAGAGAAGTTCATCTTAAATAATAAGTATGGCTTCTCCACCTCAATCCCACGTGTTCTTTCTTTATCACAATTCATTACCCCCAACGACCGACTTTATTTGCTCTAAATTTATTGGCCTTCCGCCACCTATTTCAGTGGGCTCAAATGATTTTTATACGAAATTTAAAAGGAAAATGATTTAGTACGGATTTAGCCCAACTATGATTTGGTTGACACGAGTTAATTATGTAGCTGGGACAACTTACATTTGCATAAAAACTTGTGTCAATATTATGTGTATTGAATCTTGCCAGCATTACATTACATACAAAAAAGTAGGTGGATGGTCAGTTTTTGTCACCCCTTTAATCAATGATTTTTTTTTTTTTTTAACTAAATGACCCTTTTTTATCAATCGTTGGCCAATAAATTACAACATCATTTATTTTATCGATTTAAATTTTTAATTTTAAATTTTTACAGTAAAATTTTTTTAAAAAATATCACATTTAATTTTTTTATTACAGTAAAAAATTTTTAAAAAATATCACATCTTAACTCAAATTAAAAACTCAAATTCACGATATAATCGAGGCCGTGAGTTTCCAATTCCATCGTCTTGAATATCAAGTAGCATAATCTTTGTGAGATTGTTCCCACAACACTTCATGGAAAAAAAATATATATAAAAAATTCGACAAATCTTGCTCCTCTGTAATCATACCACAACGATGGAAATTTTGTTATTCTTCTACAAATTCTGATTTTTTTTTTCATTATGTTATGTTTTTTTTTTTTTTTGGATTTTTGTGAATCCATTTGGATAATTTTGTTTGAAAGTTGTGAAATACTAAATTATGTTTTTTTGCTCCTTTTCCTCATCATTCTCTAGAATCTAAAAAAAAAAAAGAATTTCGTTCTTAACACAAAGGGATAAAATTAATTTAGTATCTTATGTTATAACAAAATATGCTCTTAGTATTTTATGTTTTTTCTGTCGCGTCACGAGGCGCTGTCGACGACTCAAATTGTTTGGGAAGTGACCCTGGATCAGGCGGAGCTACCCGTTGAGTTTAAAATATTCAATATTTTTGATAATATTAAAATAATACCTTAACATTTTAAACATTTTTTTTAATACTTTAAGACCTATTTTTAGAAAATGTCATTTCTATCATCTTATTAGTTAAATAAAAACCCATAATTTTTTAAAAAAAAACTAAGATGATTTTAAACATTTAAAAAAAATAAAAAGTCATACTTTCTCTATATCTCTATCTCTCTCTTCAAAAACTAAACAAAAAACAAAAAAAAAAAAAAAAAACCGAATGTTCACCGGACATCATCCCCGGATCTTTCATCCTTCTAGAAAAAAAAAAAAAAAAAAAAAAAAAAAAAAAAAAAAAACAAATAACACCCCCCGCGTTTTTTTCCTTCTAAAAAAAAAAAAAAAAAAAAAAAAAAAAAAAAAGCCAATTTTCAATTAGAGCATTGAGAAAACGAGGCAAGTTTTTTAATAATTGCGTGTACAGTTATAAAGTATTAAACTTGATAATAAATTTGTTTGTTGCGTTTGTGTGGTTCTGCAAATCCGTGTGACCTGTACATATTAATATTAACAAGTATAAGTGTATATTATTATGTAAAAGTTGTAACATGAACCATTAAATTTGAATAAAATAGTTATACGTGGAACACATGATGCCACACAAAAGAGATTTAATGGATGTATACAAACTAAAAAGTAACTTAAACAAAAAAAAAAATGAAGATTTCAATGACTTCCATGGAGAAGAATAAAGACAAAATAAAATGGGAGTTGATACAAAAAGGATTCAGTAAAAGACACAAAAAGTTTTTTAGAAAAAGGGATTCAAATGATAACTTACATGGGCTTCTTCTCCTATTGTTTGTTTGTTTATGTTTTTATTATTATTATTATTATTATTGGAAAACTATTGTGGAACAATCTCACAAAAGATTGTGCTCCATGATATCCGAGATTCATATGAAATTGAAACAAACATGTGAGATGGAACACATCACATGTTAAGTGTTAATTAAATTAAAAATGATGAGTTAGTATATGGGATGAAATAACACATCATATGTAATCTAAATTGGCACTCAAAAATTAGTATTTGAATTGATGTTCTCAGCGTTATTTTTACGGCACGTGGATGAGATTTTTTTTTTCACCTGACAAAACAATCTTTTTTCCCTCTTTTTCAATAAGGTTTTGAAAACTTCATAAAGGTTTAGAAAGCTAGAGATAGTGTTTACAGGTAGAGGTGTGCACGGCCTTTCTGACCCCTGGCCCGTCACAGGCCCGGGCTGGCCCAAGCACGACCCTCTACAATAAAGGGCCAAGCTTGGGCCAGGCCTGAGGGGAGACCCTTAGGCCCAGCCCTGGCCCCCGGCCCTTATGGGCTGGCCCTACTGAAGGGCCTGTTCAATGATTCAATTTATGGTTGTTGAGCAGGCACCGGTCGACCAGGGCACTCGACTGGTAGAGGCATCACCGGTCGACCAGTGGCTTACAATTTCTATGCTATCAGACGACCGGATTACACTGGATTCCCTTCAAAACTCATTTTAACATAATTTTCTTAATGCACTTGAGTTTCACTTATGATTAAAATAAAATTTTAGGATTTTTTTATAATTTCATATTTGATGACAAAAGAAATAATATATCATATGCACCAAAAAAATGTGATTTTATTGAAATAGTATGAATAATTACAAGAAAATGACTGGTTAACCGGACGACATAGGTTATGTCGATCGGTTGGCACTAAAATGCCTAAAAAACCTCATTAAAATTTCATGTCGCCGACCTGGCCCTTTCACGTGCCTGGCCTTGGTGGGCCTGGGCCGTGCATGGGTTGCAGGCCTCCAGCCTAGGCCCTTATGGCGTGCCGGGCCGGGCCGACCCATAACAATATAGGGTCGGATCGTGCCGAATTGACCACTCCAGAAGGTCCGGCCCAATTGACACCTCTATTTACTGGCAGCCACATAAATCCAATTCACGAGGTAGGAAGATATTCTTGTTACACACAGATGATCCAATGTTTCGCATTTAATCCACTATCATGGTCCTCCTCCCATAATCCAATTTAGGAGACTAACTAATCAAGTCTCAAGACCCTGATATCAATCAATCAAGAACCGTAATAAAAATATTGGGTGCGTTTAGAACTCGTTCTAAAATGATTTTATTTTTTGTATGAAAATGGAAATGAAAACATTTTCAATTTCAAACAGAACTCATTTTTGAAAATATGTTTAGTAGTTTTATCAAGAGATTATTTTCAGTATAAAAAAATCCATTAATGTCTCTCTCTCTCTGTTCGAGAGAGGAGAAAACGAAAACAAAAAATAAAAAATGACTAAAAGTCATTTTTCATTTCTTTCCTATTTTACACTAAACTAAAAAATCATTTTATTTCAGTTTTTTTATCTTTAATTGTGTCAAACACTGTTTCTCTCTAATTTTTCTTTTTTCTTTGTCAAAAAATATAAAAAATAAAAATAAAAATAACTCCAATCACAACTATTATGTGATCATTTGGGCCAACCAACCCAAGACTAGGCCGTGAAGTGTAGTGATGTAATATTTCAATGGCGTGCATTTGTTCACGTGCATCATAGTGAATGGTGATGACGATTAAGGTCTCGTTAATTTTATCAATTTAAGTTTTTAATTTTAATTTTATTATAGTTAAATTTTTTATAAAAAGTCACATTTAATTTTTTTTATTATAGTAAAAAAATTTCATATAAAATTACATCTTAACTCAAATTAAAAATTTAAATCAATAAACTAAATTAGACATAATCAAAAGAAAGTGAAAACTGCTTTCGGGGAAGTAGTTGGTGTGGTTCACATGCAGCCGTAACTACATTACACTTTACATTGAGCCTCCAAAAAAATTTTAAAAAAACATTTCTGGAAAAACCGGAGAAAATAATCCGCCAATAATTTACTACTTTCAACCTTTATATTTATATTAGACATTACCTGTTCATTATATTCTTTTAAATTGATAAGATTTAGACCAAATTCAAGGTCAGAAATTAGGCCACGTCAGCAGGGGACCAGAAAAAATGAACATAAGAAAAAAGTAATATGAGATTTTGGGTAAAATTAGAAGTCCGATGATCGTACAATCTGATAAATGTAATTTTTTTTATGTGTACGTATAACATCATTTCTTCGTACATGCAACTTTTTTCGTATATCTCTTTAATGTATATGTGTCGAACTGTATTTATAGAATATTACACTAAAATAAATTAAGTATTATACACAGATATGAATGATATTACATGAATATATGAAGAAAGTTATATTTGTCAGACTACTCGAGGTGCCGGATTTAACTACAATATGAAAAAGATTTCAATGGCCATCAATTTGATATTTGTTATTGATTGAATGTCAAAAATTATTAATCATTTATTGACTTGATAAATTGTGGTTTGATTCTTTGAAAATTAATGATTGATCTTTGAAAAAAACTGGTTCTTTTCAAAAGCCCAATTTGCAAAAGTATTCATCATTTTTTTTATTCTTTGAACCAGTTTTATAAAACAAAAAAAAAAAAAAACTCTATAATTTTGAATTTCTTTTTCCAAATTTATTGAATTTACAAGACCGAAATATCACATAATCAAAATATAATTAAATTTAATATTCTTTTATATTATTTGATAAGATTCTCCATTGAACGAACGGTTACTGTTGTTCCCGCCAACTCAAATAAACAAAGATAATTATTCATTTGTTTGACACGGAAACCGAGGACGCAGAATTTCCATTTTACCCGAACGTGAATGAGTTCTTTTTAATGAAAACTAGAAAAGTGTCTCAGATTGCAAACCAAAATTTGCACGAGTCCCATGTGTTACGAATTATGGCACTTGTCTAGTTTTTGCCATTATAAATACCCCCCCATTCATCGTCATAATACACTCAAAACAAAAATCCCACGTCCAATTTTCCCTTCTCTGATCTGGGTTTTCTCCATTATCTTTGAATTCTAGCTCCATTGTGTTGTTTTCCTTAAAAAGAAAGAGAGAAAAATAATGACGGTCGGGTCGGGGTTAACGGTGGCGGACGGGAAGCTGACGGTGAAGGGGAAGACGGTTCTGGTGGATGTTAAAGACAACATTTTCGTTACTCAGCTGGCCGATGGCGGCGCTTTGGCGGACGGCGCCTTCCTCGGCGTCACCTCCGATCAGATGGGCAGTCGCAGGGTCTTCCCTCTTGGCAAGCTTTCGTAAGTCTCCTTCTTTTTTCTTGTGTCAAAAGTTTCGTTTTTTTTTTTTTTTTTTCCCTTTTGTTTGTAAAGCTATAAATTTGTTTTTCTTCTTCTTCTTCTTCTTCTTACTTGTTTAATGCAGTTTATGTGATAAGAAAGTTACAAAATTTGTGGCTTATGGTTATGATAGTTACTATTTAGAGTCTTATTTAGCGTGTGTGTGTGTGTTTTTTTGTTTTTTTTGTTTTTTTTTTCCCTTTAAGTCTCCTTTTTCTTTCTTGGGTTTTTCCATATGTGTTTGGTTTTCTTTTTAAAAGTACTAATTAGTAATTACTTGTTTAATGTAGTTAGTGTATGTGATGAGAAAGTTGCAAAATTTGTGGCTTATGGTTGTGATAAGTAGACCAATATTTGATTTTGTCATTTCGAAATCAATTTCAGATCTCCTGTTGTGGAGTTATTTTTGGTGCTTTTTTTTTTTTTTTCTTTCTAATATCTATCTATTCTATAACTTATATAGAAGAGGAAATGACTTTTGAGCTTCAACTTGTGATTTAATGGTTTACATTTGCTATCTTTCCATTTAATTTAAATCTATTAGTACAAATTTAATCAACATGGCTCATTTATTTGTATTACTTTGTTTCCTTCTTGCCATTATAGTTTGCTTCCTCCATCTCACATCTTTATTCTCACTTTTAACACACACACATATATATTCTTTCACTTTCTTTCCTATCAGTTTACTCTCTAACACATGTATTTTCTTTGTTTTTTTCTTATCAAAAGTTTAGTTGTTCAACAGAATTTATTAGCCTCAATAAATAAGAAATAGCATATATATGTATTAAAGCATATAAACTTAAATATATCACTAAAATACCATAGTGATTCAAGAATTTTTTTTATATTTAAGAAATTAAAAAAATAAGGACGTGCCTAAACCACGTCTCTCATGCTAGTGTGTGTATGCCTATATATATATATGACAGCTAAAGCAAAGGTGGGTGTGTGTGTGTGTGTGTGTGTGTATATATATATATATTGTGATGTGCATGTTACGAAGATCAAACCTTTTTTGCGCGATTGTTAATTAACATGTTGGATGTATAACGCGTTAAACGCGTCCCATGCATTTTCCAGAAGCGTTTAGTCAATGTATCTTGAGTCTGTAGTAGTTGTTGATTAATATATATAATTATGTGTACTGAATGAGTGTTTGATTTTGTCCCATCACGACTAAGTTTGGATGTGTTAATTTTGGCTAATTACTTGTATATATCATGTAATCTTTGGGCTCGTTTGTTTTTCGTTCGTTTGATTGAGTTGAGAATTAACTTGAGTTAAAAAGTGATTTCATGTGTGAGAAAATTCTGTAGTAGAAAAAATTAAATTTGAATTTGGAGTTGTGATTCGAACTAACGAAATAAACGAGACCTACGAATTAGAGGGTCATGAAAAACATTTTGTAACAACTTGTGGCTGATTTTTGTGAGAACTATGGATGTTGTTTGTGCAGGGGATTGCGGTTCATGTGCCTTTTTCGGTTCAATTTGTGGTGGGTGACGCAGAGGATGGGGAATTGTGGGCGAGATATTCCGTTTGAGACTCAGTTTTTGATCGTGGAAGTGAACGACGGGTCTCACATCGATGACGACCAATCTGCGCTCTACACCGTCTTCTTACCGATTCTTGAGGGCGACTTTAGGGCCGTCCTTCAAGGGAACGAACGTGACGAGCTCGAAATCTGCTTAGAAAGCGGTAAGCGAAACAGAAAAATGGAAAAGAAATAATTTGTAACTGATTAGCTGTAGTAAAAAGCATTCTTTTGTTGTTTTTGAATTGAATTGCGAAAACTTTTGGCCATTGTAGGAGATCCTGCCGTGGACGAATTTATCGGTAGTCATTTGGTCTTCGTTGGAGTTGGATCAGACCCTTTTGATGTTGTTACAAATGCGGTGAAGTAAGTTCAACAAATCGTCGACGCGAATTCGCGCTTTTCGCGCTTTTCTTTCCTTGCATACACATTAAAACTCAAAAGGGTTCATATCATTGAGTTGGTTTTGTTGCAATTTGTATGGTTTTATTTACAGGACTGTGGAGAAACATTTACAAACATTTTGCCATCGCGAGAAAAAGAAGGTACTCAATGTTTTTCTCGTCAAAAATTAGAGGCTTTTTGAGATTCTTAATCTTTTCGACATTCCTGATTTCTTTATGCCTAATGCTTCAGATGCCGGACATGTTGAACTGGTTTGGTTGGTGCACATGGGACGCGTTCTACACCGAAGTTACTTCGGAGGGCGTGAAGCAAGGGTTGGAGAGGTATTGCCTTTTCTCAGGATAGATATAAGGCTTGTTCTTTTCACAATTCAAACTTTTTTGCTACAGTATTTTTACTCAAAAGATTTTAAATTCAACTGTTTTGTTACAGTATTTTCTCTCGTATAAAATTCACTTTACAACCCATTTTTCAACTCGAGTTGTGAAAAGAACATGTCCATAATAATTTGATGCTTAGTTTTAAAAAATAAATGGTGATGAGAGCTTTTTTTGTATTTGCAGCCTAGACAAAGGGGGAACGCCTCCGAAATTTGTCATAATCGACGACGGGTGGCAATCAGTCGAGATGGATTCCAATGGTACTGCATACAATGCCGATAACACTGCAAAGTGAGTACGGAAAAATTTAGACTGAATACCTTTTTACATTTTGTATTTTTATGTTTCCAGTTACTAACGACTTCTTTCACGTCAACTCTTTTTATTATATCTGCAGCTTTGCAAACAGGTTAACAAATATTAAAGAAAACCACAAGTTTCAGAAAGAAGGCAAGAAGGGTCACAGAGTAGAGGATCCAGCTTTGGGTCTTCGCCATATTGTTTCCGATATTAGAGAGAAACACGCGTTAAAGTGAGAATTGTTCTTTCGTTTTTTTCGACAAAAGTACTCGTTCGACCGGGAGTTTATGGTGTTTGTTTTCATGAATTTGCAGGTACATTTACGTTTGGCACGCAATAACAGGGTATTGGGGCGGTGTGAGACCCGGTGTTACTGAAATGGAACACTATGAATCCAAAATGGCCTATCCCATTTCGTCCCCCGGGGTTCAGTCCATTAACAAGCCTTGTGTCGCCTTGGCAACCATCGCCAAAAATGGTCTTGGCCTTGTGAACCCGGAGAAAGTTTTCAACTTCTACAATGAGCTTCATTCCTACCTCTCATCAGCCGGCATAAATGGTGTCAAAGTTGATGTTCAGAACATTCTCGAAACACTCGGGGCAGGCCACGGTGGGAGAGTAAAACTCACGACGAAGTACCATCGGGCACTGGAGGCATCTATTGCGAGAAACTTCCCTGATAATGGAATTATCTCTTGTATGAGTCACAATACAGATGGTTTATATAGGTAATTAAAAGCTCTTTCCCTTCTCTGTCATTGAAGTTTTTGTGCAAGTTTGTGATGGAAACAAGTTGATATGACCTTGAAAATTTTATGCTGCAGTGCCAAGAGATCGGCTGTTATGAGGGCGTCGGACGATTTCTGGCCTGAAGATCAAGCATCACACACCATTCACATCGCATCAGTCGCCTACAACACTGTTTTTCTCGGGGAGTTCGTGCAGCCTGATTGGGACATGTTCCATGTGAGCTGCAAATTGATTATGATTTTACTTAAGTAGCTTTGTTATCTTTCGCATACGCGTGTTTCTTATTTTATTTTTTTTAATCTCAGAGCCTGCATCCAATGGCTGAATACCACGGCGCAGCTCGCGCAGTAGGAGGATGTGCAATTTATGTCAGGTACTTCTTTTTTTTTTTTTTTAACACAATCCATATTATTTTTAAATAATTTGATATGATCATTTCAAAAGAAGAAACTGTTCTCATATTTAGTATTTTCATGTAAATAATGTAGTGACAAGCCTGGTCAACATGACTTTAATATTTTAAAGAAGCTTGTTCTTCCTGATGGTTCCATCTTGAGGGCTAGACTTCCCGGAAGGCCGACAAGAGATTGCTTGTTTTCTGACCCTGCCAGAGATGGAAAAAGGTATACTTGACAAATCCCACATCTATTAGATTTTTTTCCCCCTCAAATTTCTGTGTCAAAAATTTTGTTTTGCGCAATTGTTGCAGTCTTCTAAAGATATGGAACTTGAATGACTTCTCCGGAGTTGTCGGGGCCTTCAACTGCCAGGGCGCAGGATGGTGCAAGGTCGGAAAGAAGTACCTTATTCACGATGAACACCCGGACACGATCACCGGAGTTATTAGGGCCAAGGATGTTGCTTATCTGCACAAGGTCACAGATGACAAATGGACCGGTGATGCTGTCATATTTTCCCATCGTGGTGGTATGTCATGTTCTTTGTGCTTGCGCTATTTGTGATTTAGAATCTACCAATAATAGGTGTAGAGCAATGTCATAATTGGTTTTTCTAGTACACCTCTAACCCTTTTGCTTTTGGGTGGTTACTTGCAGGAGAAGTTACCTATCTTCCTAAGGATACCTCTTTGCCGGTAACTCTAAAATCCCGAGAATACGAAGTGTTCACGGTGGTCCCTGCAAAGGAATTTTCCAATGGTGCAAGATTCGCCCCAATTGGTCTGATTAAAATGTTCAATTCTGGAGGAGCCATCAAAGCATTGGATTGCGAGTCCGGGAGAAGTGCAACAGTTAACATGAGAGTTCGCGGTTGCGGTCTATTCGGAGCTTATTCATCCACTCAACCGAAGAGTGTTATGGTCGATTCAGAGGAGGTAAAGTTCAACTACGAAGCGAAATCGGGTTTGGTAACTGTTGTTTTGAGAGTCCCTGAGCAAGAATTGTACCTTTGGGACATAACCATTGAGATGTAGACTGCGGAATGTGTGTTGTGGTTTTAGATATATGAGAGAGAGATTGGTAGGTACTTGTGTACGTCCCCATAAGAAAATAATTGTAACTTTCATGTGCATTGTCCAAAATCTTTAATGGTCTCTACCATTAATAAAAATAAGAAATAAAATGTTGGTATTATGTACTTCTATTGCTCGGTGAGATATAACTTTTCAAATGCATATTTTCCCCTCCCATAAACCAATGACATATGCCACATGGCCATAAGCCTTGTTATTTGAAAACTCTAAGGTTCTTTTAGGAGACTCGAGAACTCAGGATGTTTAGATTTACGACTCATCTTAAAGTAGTGCTTTAAAAAAAGAAAAAAAGAAAATCATTGGTGATATTTCGTCTCCATTTCTCTTATCTTATGAAAAGTACGGGAATCTAATAACGAAATGAAAATGATATAACTAAATTCTACTTGAATAACGAGCTTATTTTTCACAAGATCAACATCGCACAATTCATTATAGAACATCGAACCCACTTTGGGGTATGAGCACAGAGATTGTAAGTAGAATGGTAAGTTAGAGAGTGGCCTTTTCCAATTGCGTGATTTATACAAAGACGTTTTAATTGAATGAAAGAGGTACCACTTTTGGCTGCACTGACACTGACTTGTGTTTGTATGATGCAAATGCAATGTTCTCCACAACCACAAGCCTTGGTTTAATTTCAATGTTGAACCCTACTTATGACAAATAATTATGCCGGATGAAATGTTAATTTTAAGGACATTTGTAGAATGAAATGCCATTGTCTTTAGAAACAAGACTTGAGGAGATTTGATAGGATGAAATTGCTTTGTGGGCGCCTCTTGTGTGTGTGTTTTTTTTTTTTTTTTTTTTTTTTTTGAGCTCAATAGAAATATTTTTATAAAAAGATTTCTTTAGCATGTTGTATTGCCCTATTTGTTACATCGAGTTTATTAACCGAATTTTGAAGATCAAATTTATAAGTACCCATTTTAAAAGTAGTGCATCTTATGATAAAAAGGCTCTTATAGATTAGACTGTTAAAATTTAATTAAACAGCTAACAAAATTTTGTTGTGATAATAGGTCAAACAACGTGTATTTACCGTAGAATTGTCCTAATTTTAAATGAAAATATAACTATTCACATGAATGATATGCTTTTTATTTACATTAATTTGGATGAATTTTTCAAACAATAAAAAGGAATTGAATAAAGGATGGAATTTCACCACATAAAAATAACTAAAAATTGTAAAACAAAGCAAAAAATAAAAAAGAAAAAGAAAACGACCCAATAATAATAATAATAATAAATAAATAAATAAGATCTTGGTTTGGTTGCTTAAACCCTGTGGGCTTCCCCAAAACCCCCAAAAAAAAACACTTTCCTTTCTTCACTCTTCATTTGTGTTCAGAGCAAACTCCAACGAGAAGATGTTTCGAAGCCGATTGACGCCATTTTTTTTGTTTAAGAGCAGCAATCGCAAAGCTCTCCGCGACCTCGCCCAAACGGCGTCGTCTGGTTCTGTTATATACGAAGAAACTTCCAGAAGATTCTTCTCCTCCGGAATCGCTCGCACGATTTTCCATAACTTCCGATCTCATTTTTCCCCAAAGGTTTATTCCTTTTTATACATTTTATTTTTCCCATTCCTTATTATTATGAATAATATGTGATTTCTATCACCGGATTTAGAGACCCTTTTGCCTATAATGTTGTGTTTCTTTGTTTATTTGGTTCCTTTTGTTTCTGGGAAACTGGAATTAAGGTTCATAAAGTTTGGAATTTTGCCCCAATTTCTGCATTTGTTTCTGGGAAATGAGAATAGTGTTCAAATTTTGTTATTTAATTGTAGATTAGCTGTTTGAACTTCATGACCTGTTGTAAAGTCTAGTTCTTTATGTATAAAGATTGGGACTTTCTAGGAAATGCTGATGATTTGATTTTTAGACTGTCATTGAAGGTGACCTTTTTAATTTGATGCCCTCGAAATGCAATGCAAATATAACAATTATGATAAATTTCTTATGCAATTTAGGGTAATTATGCTCGGCCCCTGAGAAATATGTGCGCCATACCATCATCTGTCAGTATGGCAAGTAAGGAAGGATTGAAGCTAATCGTGAATGGAGGACCCCCTGCTCAGAAAGCGGTTGGAATATGGCTTTTTTGCTCTGCGGCATGGGTGTTTAGTATGGTGATACTTGGTGGCGTCACACGATTGACAAGGTCTGGTCTTTCAATGACAGATTGGAAGTTTACTGGCCAGCTTCCTCCTCTATCAGATGAGGAGTGGTTGCAGGAGTTTGAGAAGTACAAGCAGTCGCCCGAGTATAAACGGTGAGTTAAAAAAACAAAACAGTGGTACATGTTTGTGATGCTAAGCTTTGTGTTACTTAAGGGATTTTGGACTGAACCTTACTGCACAACCCTTCAGAGAATTTTGATGAAAAGTTATAATCGTGCCTCTACTCAACAATAGAAACTTGTAACTATGTCCTGTTCTATTAAAAGCAATCATATCTCTCAATAATTATGTGCCCGTTAAAAAAGCTGTTTGGCTCTGCCACTGCTTGCAGGGTTAACCGGGGAATGAGTATTGAAGAATTCAAGTTCATATATTGGATGGAGTACGCGCACCGTATGTGGGGTAGAGCACTTGGTATCATGTTTGCTTTGCCATTTTCGTATTTTCTTCGTAAGGGGTATATTACCTTACGGCTTGGACTGAAACTCTCTGCTCTTTTTGCCCTTGGTGCTGGGCAGGGTCTGATTGGCTGGTGGATGGTTAAAAGTGGTTTAGAGGTTAGACAACTTATCAATTAAGTTAGTGAAATTTAACGCTTATGTCTATACTAACAAGTTTTTATTTTTCCCAATAGGAACCAGCCTCCGAATATGCTCAACCAAGAGTTAGTCCCTATCGGCTTGCAGCTCATCTCACTTCTGCCTTTGCCATATACTGTGGCCTTGTTTGGACCGGTCTCAACGTCGTTATGCCTGAGCCACCTGCAGAATCATTAGCATGGGTTAACGGGGCTGCTAAAGTAAGAAGACTTGCTCTTCCTGTGAGCTTACTTGTGGGCATTACAGCTGTCTCAGGAGCCTTTGTTGCGGGAAATGATGCGGTATGGAACTAAGCTCTGCATTCTATTGCTTTATGTCTTTGACAAAGAATCAGTGCAGTTTCTGCTAATAGGGGATTATGATTATGCTTGTACGATGAACTGCCAGGGACATGCATACAATACTTTCCCAAAGATGGGTGATACTTGGATACCAGAGGATGTTCTTGACATGAAGCCACTTATTCGTAACTTCTTCGAGAAAACATCAACTGTGCAGGTGATTTCTTGGGAAAAATTTTTCCTTTTTTTTTTTTTTTAATGATGCTGAAATGAGTACAAAAGGTCAAGTATCCTCGAGAAAACTAAAACAATAAAAAACATCTAATTACCCCATTACATCTTTTCAATTCAAAACAATCAAAGAAGGCTTTGTCACATGATGCCCACTAGGAAACTAAGTATTTCGTTTTCTTCAGAAGATCCATGTTACAGATAAGTTCTTCACTGGTTATCTCATACATGATGTCTGAGGACGCTTGAGAACAAGGAGGAAAAGGGCCAAAGGGATTGAATTGAAAGAGAAATTGTTATTGAGTTTATCTCTCTTCTTTTTGCAGCTTGACCATCGAATCCTAGCAATGACAACCTTATTTTCAATTGGCTCTTTGTGGTGGTTAACAAGGAAGTTGGAAATACATCCTGCAGTTCGAGTTCTAATCGGCAACACTGTTGGCATGGCGGCTCTTCAGGTTTATTATCGACTTTTCTTTAGCTTATCTCCTAAAGTGTAAATATCCAAAATGGGTCTTCCATGTCACATTTTGACAATTCCCTAAATATGATGATTCTTGTAGTTAATATACTCTCATCACTTGCAGGTGACATTAGGGGTATCCACCCTTCTGTCATACGTTCCGGTTTCACTAGGTACTGCACACCAAGCCGGTGCTTTGACTCTTTTGACGTTGATGATCCTTCTCAATCACACGGTGCGGAGACCATCACCATCCCTTCTTAAATCTCTGCCTCAAGTTGCCAAGACAATCTAGCTAAATTTAGCACACAAGGCAAATGTACAACGCAATCAGTTAAGATTAAACCCTTATTTACCGGACTCAATGCCCTTCTGGTGTTCAAGATGAGTTCATATTTTTGCCACATTTCCAAGGATTTTCTTTCCCTTGTATTTGGAAGCCTTATCAGTGAGAAGTTTCAATCAAGCTATTGCCATTTGATTCAGAGGTGCAATTCCTCATTGGTGAACACATTTTAATTTGTAGCTGAGATGTAATTTATCAAGAAAATAATCGAAGGAAAAATTGACAGTGTATGGCGCATGTTATTCAAGTTTTTATTATTATTATTATTTGTTAATATTTTCAATAGTAAAATTGTAGAATTTGAAGGGTCCCTATGTTTAGATTTTACATTAAATTCTTGGAATATTTATAGACATATATATATATAGGTGTAGTTTTAATGGTTACTCCAACATTACTCATGGATACGTATTATTAATTTAACCATATTTTATTATAAAATTGAAGAAGCTGTTAAGCTGATTGACCTTTGTTTTGAATGATCCACCTAAGAAACCTAGGGTTTGTTCTTTTGCAAGTATTCTTGAGTTAAGTTTTTAAGTTGAGTTTGAGTTATAACTTGAGTTGAAGTTGTAACTTGAGTTTGCATTTGGTTGTATACATTTGAGTTATGGTTTGAGATAAGAATCTTTTTGAGTTTGTATTTGAGTAAGTCAAAACTTGAAGTTGTATTTAGATAGTATTTTAATAAAAATTCAATGTTGATGAAAAATTTTAATAGGGTATATGGGTCTAGTTTTATTCGTCTTTTCGTTGTCAACGCATAAAAAAAAATCATCTCAATCAGAATTAAAATGAAAAAGTTATAGTATTTTTAAGAATAGAAAAAATACTGTTCATTAACTTGAGTTCGTGTTTCTGAACTCAAGTTGAAAGGGAAACCTGAACTCGAGTTTAAGGGTCCGTTCACTTCGCTGATTCGAGTTTGTAATTCGAGTTGAGATGTGATTTTGTGTGAGAGCTTTTTACTGTAGCAAAAAAGTTAGATGTGACTGTTTCTAAGAGCTTTTTACTTTAGCAAAACTCAAGTTTAAACTCGAGTTCAAACTTAAAAGAACATGAACTCAAATAAAGTTGTAACTCGAATTGCCTTTTTTTTGAGTTTTTCACTCAAAAGAACAAGCCCAATATACTTTGATGTCGTTTTAAATTATTTTCATTTGGTGCCGTTTTCTAAATTATTTTTGTTGTTACATTTTATTTTGAACATCATTATTATTGTTCACTCATTGTGCTTTCGTTTCTTCCCAATTCTTTTTGGTTGTCGTTTATTAGTTCAAGTGTTGTTAGTGCTCGTTATCATGTCGTTTTCCAAATTGTTAAGGTTGGTTTCGTAACTTCCGTTATCTTGTCGGTTGGCAACATATTGTCGTTTCTTCCATTTTTTGTCACTTTTGTGCAAACATTGTCGTTTCTTCCATTTATTAATGCTATTCTTGCGCTACTGTCGTCCTTCTATTTTTGGCCATTTTCACTTTTTGTCGTTTTCTGAAGGACAATCCTATTCTCTCTTGTTGTCTTTTTCAATCATTGGCATCGGTTTGCTTACTGTTGCATTACTAATTATTTCTTGGGGTTAAATCACATTTCTATACCTTGTAGTTTTAATTATTTCTTAATTTATTCCTTTGTTTTTTTGAAACTATAGAGATATTCTTTAATTATTTCTTAATTTATCACTTGTTTTATATGCATCTCATGCAGACCTAGCAAAGAAAACAAACGAGGGGAAAAGAGAAAGATACTTTTACGTAGAATCGAATTTATTTATGAAAAATATTTCTTCTTAGATAAAAAAAGGTTGAAAAATATTTTCACATTTAAAATCATACAACTCAGTATCTTTTCTGTTAAAATGATAATTTTAGACTTTTTATGTTTTTTAAATCAATAAAATATTTTCACAAACCGTTTAAGGGTAGTTATTTCATTTCGTCTATTTTTTTCTATTCACAAAGAAAGCGAGAGAAGAAATTACAATAAGTTTTTCAAATTCAAAGGTTATCTTTGTAGTTCCCAAAAGCAGAAGGACAATTGAGAAATAATTAAAACTATAGAATGTATATTAAAACCAGTTTTCGTGTTTTCATGATGCAATTATCGTTTTTGAGTTTATTATTGTAGCAATGATATAACAAGTGGATTATGACTTTTCAATTAATAAATAGATGTCAAAAAAAAAATACGATTCACCTATTAAAATACTAATTTGCAATGGTATTTGTATCCCTATTATAATTTTCTTCCAAATCTCTTCATAAGATTTAAAAGAAAAAAAAAGAAAAAAATTGTAACAAAACATTTAGCCTCATATACCACGTCAAAATAGAAAATGCCTCGACATACCTTTGGCACTATTATGTATGGTGTGGCAATTGCTATTTTGGTTGGCATATGAGCCTAAATATTTTGTCATGATTTTATTTATTTATTTATTTAAATAAAGAGTATCACCAGTGACAAAGCCAGAATTTAAATTTAAGTGGGGGCACAAGTAAAAATAAAATTATTAACTAAACTATACAATAAAAATTTTGAGGCAAACTTTTTATCTTTTTTTTTTTGTCCGATTTCCTCTTTTCTAATTAGCATTAAAAATTTTTTTAAGGAAGTGATAACTTTATTGAGTATTATGTGCGCAAGTATATGTACATGATAAATGAATAAAAAAAAAACATTAGAACAATATAATCCTTAAGATTAAAAAGTTCATAAATTTTCATATTATTTTGGAGAGCAATAAAACTATTGGAAAATAACAAAGGAGCAAAAAAAAATAAATGAAAAAACAGAGAGGGTAATCACATCCGAACAAGAAAAAAAAAGTTGTAGAGTTTTTTTCAACTAAAATGGAAAAGAAAAAAAAGAAAATTATTAACTATACAAATATGAATAAGTGAGGAAGAGGACCTCTCCGTAGCACAAAAAAGGAAAAATAGAGAATTTACCTTTGAGAGTGTATGAGTTTGGAGTTTTATCTCTTACTATTGATAAATATTTTTTTATTAGTGTAATTATTTAACTAAAAAGGTTATGAATTAAGAGTAAATGGTAAAAATTACAACTCATACATTTTTAATAGGTATTTATCAAGATTACCCTAACAAAAAGGGAAGTAGGCCTCCCTTCAAACAAGAGCTAACGCCCAAATCTTTAGAAAAAAAAAAAACCCAAAACAAAATAGAGAGTGTTACTTGATCAGAGGAGCATATTCTTTAAAATCAGGATAAATAATAGTGTTTTGGATAATAAGTATAATGATTTTGGCCGTGTTTAGAATTGATATTGTTTTTATTTTTTACGTTTTTCGAAAAAAAAAATGAAAACGTTTCAAAAACAGTATTTGGCGCAATAAAGACAAAAAACGGAAATGAAAATAATTTTTTGATTTAGTGTAAAATGAGAAAGAAATGAAAAACAACTTTTAGTCATTTTTCATTTTTTATTTTCGTTTTCTCCTCTCTCGAGAAGAGAGAGAGAAAGAGAAACATTAATATATTTTTTTACACTGAAAATAATTTCTTAATAAAACTACTAAATACATTTTCAAAAATAATTTCTATCTAAAATTAAAAATATTTTCATTTACATTTTCATACAAAAAATAAAATTATTTTAAAATAAGTTCTTTGTTTTTCTTCAGTGGGGGCACATGCCCTCATTGGGCACGAGGTGGATCCGTGCCTGAGTATCACATGAAGAGATTTGGAAGAAAGTGAAAATAGGGATGCAAATACGGATGTAATTATGTGACCATAACATGTTGCACATATTTGAGTTCCACCTTTTTTTTTTCCCCTCCGTGATATTTAAGCGTGTGAATGGATTTTTTTTTTAGAGAAAATTTTATTACTAAATTAACTAATTACATGAGTGGTCGTGAATGATTACAAATTATAAGGAATTCGACCCCGAATATTAATCAGATAAGATGAAGTGACATTGATTGAATTATAAGGAATTCGACCCCTAACGTGAGATCATCATATGTTATACTTTTGTTGCTCTTTTGGGTAAGATCAAGTGGAATTGAAAAAGGTGTCCCAATCTTATAATGACTATCCACGTAGACACTCACAAAGCTATCCACGTAAGACACAAACTACACACATCATTCGTCTAGTTGTCATATATTATTTAAGCCCTTATTATTAAGTGCCAAAAAAGTAAAACTGCCACGACTAGAAGTGAACCAAAAAAAAAAAAAAAAAAAGTAGAGATTGATAAGAATCACCAAGAATATATCGATCAATGGCGGATTACCAATATCAGCCCTAGCAAAGTAAAAATCAGCCATACATGATCATATCAGGCAAGACTTTGCTATTTGCATCTCTCTCAAGTTTGGCCATGTCAGGGTTCAGTTTCTCGCATCAATCACTCTTCTTCTCATAATTAACCTCTCCCCTTGTGTTCATTTTCAGCCCTCTTCTGCTCGTCGCTGGTGCCGTGTTGGTGGCGGCCGTGGCCGGGTTTGGTGTGGGTGCGGCCGCGGCACTCACGGGGTTGGCTGCTTTCGGGTGGATCTCTAGCGAGCTCGGAGTGGGAACGCGGTTCTCGGGACTAATTGGTGCCTATGGCAGGCGCCCCATCGAGAGGAAAATTGATATATTATGATATACATATGTATCTGTACGCATTTTTAGCAATTGTGATGATTTGACTCATATTCATACTTTATCCTGACAAACATACAAATCCAGTCTAGTACAAATAAATAATCTCATGTATAAGTTTGGCGGCCCGAGCCTGAAATTATATAAGGTTTTTTTTTTTTAAATATTTAAAAATATAACGTTTGGGTTGTGTCAGGTCGGTCTTAAAAGAAATAATATCGATTTAATCTGACTCTAAACCTAAAAAATTTAAAAAAATAGTAGGAAATAGGCAAATATGAAAAGTTTAAGAAAATATATATGCCAACTTTTAGTTATAGAAATTAATAGGCCATAACTTGTCAAGTTATGGTTCATAACCAGAAAAGTTATGGACAAACTTGTCAAGTTATAGTTTATAGCCAGACAAGTTATGGATAAAAACTGAGAATAACTTGTCAAGTTATGGTTCATAACCAGACAAGTTATGGTTCATAATCAGACAAGTTATGGACGAAAACAATAATTTGCCCTATTTATTAACTTATGTAAACTATTGGCCTATTAATTTTAATTCATCTCAAGTCTTGGTATATTTTTCTTTTTCTCCCAAAAATTTAGGACCAAGCGGGACTGGACCCGAGCCAAGAGTGGCAGGCCTCGAATCAGCACGTTTAACCCCGAACCAAATTTAGTCCAAAATGGTATAAAATTTAACAACAAAAGTTCAAGTTCTCGAATCTCAATCTTGTTGCAACTCCTAGTCATCCTCATCAAAGCTACATAAGAAAATAAGATTGATATAAAGCTATATTAAATACATTGATGAAATTTAGTATGTTCTTTCTAAGTAATTAGTAGCTTATTCAACCGCTTTAGTAGATTTCGCATCATTGGTAATTGATTAATAACATGGGATGTGTTTTTATATTATCTAGATTTTATTTAAAAATAAACATGAACGAGTGTAAATATTGTTGCCATAAGGATAGATGGGATTTTCCATTTATTCTCTTCGAAGTTATAATAAGAATCCCACAATAACAAAAAGATTATTGTGACAATTTCAGGATGTTTGGTAGAGGGATTCGTTCCCTTATTTGAATCATGATTTGTGGTTCGCTACAGTATTTTCTCTCACAAAAAATACACGTAAATCAAAAATGGTTTGAATCACATAGTTTGAATCCTCCAATCAAACGTAATCGAAATTTTCTAACCAAAAAAAAAAAACACACACACACATAAGATGTACGTATTGAAAATACCTACAAGTAATATTACTAGTCAAAAAGTCTTCCCACTATTTGAAGAAAGTTGTAGTTAGATAGTTAAATATTACTGATCCTCTCACGAATTGATTAAGTATTGCAAAACAATATAGATTTGGTATTGTGATACATTCGTGTGCTTGGCAACGCGTAGATCCAAAATACCGACAAATCTTGTGTACCATAAAAAAGGTGGATTCGAGAAATTTTGTATAATTTACCGTATCACACATTCACACTTTTCTTTTTTAATACAATGTTGTGCATCCATTGATCATCCATTAACTCCAACCAATGACTATTGATCCATTGGTAATATATATATATGTGGTAATCTACCGTATCACACAAACAACTAGCATTAGAGATGACCGGAGATCTATGTCAAAAAAGGCGACATAATCAGATAAATTATTCATAGTAATCTACCAGGCGGTGGCCAGTGGTCACTAGTGTAATTCGGTAGATGACTTGTACTAATCTAGTGATTTCTCCATCAATTGGTGTCGACTATCGACAAGGACCATTTCTTCAAAATTTGACCGATCCGGGTAGAATTCCCTCCAAGACAAGGTTATATTTGATATGAACGTTTTGATGGTCTGAACTCAAGTTCTAGTTCAAACAAGTATTTGTTTCCAAAAATAAAAAAGTGGTTTGAATTCAGCCTAATAAAAAAGTGAATTCGTTTATTTCATACGTGTAAACCTATAATTTTAATTCTGCTACAGTGTTTTTCTCTCATAAAAAAATGGATTCGTTTATGCCAAATTCAAAGATTCATAATTTTAACCCAAAGTTCAAACTCCACGTTTCAAAACCCACATGGTTCAAACCCAAAGGTCCAAATCACCTTAATTTGAACCCTTATACTAAACAACTCCTAAGAGTGCTTGAAGGCACATTCTCATACTTTTCCATAAAAAGTAAAGGGTCAATTTCGACCTTCCTAACGATAAAGCTGATTTATAACAGTTAGGGCAATTCAAAATTACATCAGATTGAAAAATATGTAGAAATAAATATTTTTATATTGAGATGTGTGAGTTGAAAACATAATAATTTTTTCAGTGGTTCATTTTTAAGTGCCAACTAGAGAAATCTCCAAAGGTAAAAGAAATTCATAAAAAAAAAGTAGATTAAAAAGAACATGACCAAACTTGTTGCGTGTTTGTAAAACAAAAACAAAAGAACAAAAAAAAAAAAAACAAGAAATAGAAAAAAAAGAATTGGGGATAGTTTTAGATGAAAAATAGAGCGTTTGAAATTAGTTTCATATTGTTTTTAAAAACGTTTCTGTACGTCTTTTGAAATACGAAAATAAAAACGGTTTACAAACCGTGTTTATTTAACAAACGTGTTGAAAACGAAAAATAAAAATAAAAAACAGTGAGAATAGTTTTTGTGAATACATTAAAAAATAATTAAAAATTATTTATCTTTTTCTGTTTTTATTTTTAATATTTATTAATAATATTATAATATATTAATTAATAATTATAATCAAACACAATTTTATTATTTTATTATACTCTAAACAATCTCAAACACAATTTTATAATGAGTTTTAAAATAATTATAAAAATAATCTCATTTTTCGTTCGGCGACAGCGGAAAGAACAATAAAATATAAAATATCTACAAAGAAGGGGGTCAGTTCTCCATAAATTGAAATTGACCCATCTACAAAATATTTTCTAAAAGGAAAAATATCTTTAAACGCATCTTATATTTCAAGAGTGCGTGTGTGAGAGTGAAGCATATCACATTTGTGCTTCACTGTTCTAATTTACTCTGAAGAAGCCCAAAAAAAAAAAAAAGCAAAAAAGAAAACAAAAGGAAACAGCTTTTAGTCAAAAAAAAGTAAGCCTCTGATCCGTATCTTTTATTTTATTTTATATTTATTTTTTAATGTTGTTTCGGATTTCTGAGACGACCCTTTTAGAGCGTGGAAGAGAAAGATTTCATCTTTTGGCAGATCCCAGACCATAATTTTGACTCTTCTTTGGTGATAGTTTCTTCGTATTTATTGCCTTATTGGGTAGTTCCAATTGTGTGTTGATTTTATTACTGTTTGCTCAAAATCGTATAAAGTTTTATTGGTGATGATTCTTTTCTCTTCCGTGGTGACCAGAGATGCGATTTTTATTTTTATATTTTCTGGGGTTGTTTAAATTTTATTTTTCTCTGTCAAAAATTATTTTTTTTCAGCTACTATTTTTAGTACCCTTTGATGGGTAGAGCAAAAAGCTTCAAACTTGATCTGGGTTTGGGATTAGGATTGGAAATTTTGTTCCTTTAAAGTAGTTCAAGAACATAGTTTTGATTAATTCTTTCTTGGATGTGTGATTTGATGAGGGAAGCTGTTTTTTAGTATATGCAATGCAATATATATATATATATATTAATCTTGGGTAATGTTTGTTAATTGTTTTCTTGTATCAGATTAGCTCTAGATTCAAGGATTTTCCTTTTGTCAATTTGAAGAAATGTATGTTATCCACTCAGTTCTGTAGTGATGTTCTTTGCTGGGTCTTGGCAAAACTTTTTGTTTTGGAAGATAATTTAGAATATGGATTATAAGTCATTCGACGGAATACAATCTCAACTTGAAGTAAGTTGCTCCTATTCATTGTTTTCATTCCTTTTATATGTGTGTGTGTGTGTGTGTGTGTGAACATATGTCTTAAAGCCCCATTTGGACTTAATAATAACTTCTATTGCTTTTTGACCCTTTTTTTCGTCAGTCATTCAATTTGGGAAACATTAGATTCATTAAATTATTGGGATGTCATTAGTATATGTTTAGGAAACCACCCTCTTAAAAGTGATTGTAATTTTGAATGTTATAAAATATGAATAGATTGGTTTAGTTTATATATACACATATGTATTGAATATTATGACTATTGGAATGCCAATAGTATATCTTTGGCAAACGACCCCTCTTAAAGTGATGGTTTTCCTTGAGTGTTATGAATAGATGGGTTCAATGGAAAATGGATTGATGAATGAGTTTGACGACGAGAGTCTCTATAGTCCGGAGACCGAAGCTCAAAAGACGCATTCTATTCAAGCTGTTGAACAAGGATCATCATCTTCTGGAGGGTCGCAAGATGACACCAAGAAACTGATGGGGAATGTTGTATATAGGAGCATAAAAACTGTAGTTTTCTCAAATAAGCTGAACTTGCTTATGCCATTCGGGCCGCTAGCAATTCTTGTCTATAAGTTGACTGGTCATCGGGTGAGTTTTAACTATACCTGCTTTGTATTATTATTGCAGATAGCTCTTCTATGTACTTCGGCTCATTTTGTTTTGGATTGCAGGGTTGGGTATTCTTTCTTAGCTTGTTGGGTATAACACCTTTAGCGGAGCGTTTAGGTTATGCGACAGAGTAAGTATCTATTTCCACTAAAATTTATTCATTAAACTCTTAATAATATGGATTTCAATTAGTTAATTGACATTTTATTTTTGGGCGCATGTCTTCTCATAGGCAGTTGGCATTTTACACGGGAGCTACTGGTAATTTTCTTATAGCAAGCTTATTACTTAGCTCTGTGTTAAACTTGAAACTTCTTTCTTTTTTTCTAAAGACCATGATTTTGTACTTTTCTGTTTTCCTAAACCTCGTTCAGGATTACCTTTTGACCCCTCGAATTTGGGCTTGCAGTTGGGGGCCTCCTAAACGCTACTTTTGGAAATGCAACAGAACTAATTATATCTATTTACGCTCTGAAAAGTGGAATGATGCGTGTTGTTCAGCAATCGTTGTTAGGCTCGATTCTGTCAAACATGTTGCTGGTGCTCGGTTGTGCGTTCTTCAGCGGCGGCCTTGTTTTTCATGGGAAAGAGCAATTGTTTAACAAGGTATATATATTAGTATCTTTTTACTTCCCGAGCCCTTATATCAAACTTTCATCTAGCTGATTAAGTTGTTATATAGGCAACTGCTATTGTGAACTCGGGATTGCTTTTGATGGCTGTCATGGGCCTACTCTTTCCGGCTGTTTTGCACTATACACATTCTGAGGTGCACTTTGGAAAGTCAGAGCTGGCACTCTCCAGATTTAGCAGTTGCATCATGCTGGTGGCATATGCTGCATATCTATTCTTCCAGTTAAAGAGTCAGAAGAATCAATATGTCCGTATTGAGGAGGTTATTTCTTCTTTTTTCTTATTTTATTATTATTATTTTGACTTAATCCGGATTTGTTGTCCGTTCACTATCAAATTTTGTACAGCTTTGTATATTTTGTCTGTTAATGAGTTCTAGTATGTATATGGTATGAACACAGGAAGGGAGTCAAAATGAAGAGCGCTCAGATGACGACGAATCTCCTGAGATCTCTAAATGGGAATCGATTATTTGGCTTTCCATTATGACTGCTTGGATCTCAATCCTCTCTGAATATTTAGTCAACGCCATAGAGGTACTATCTCCTGGTTCCTAATTTCTTCTCTTTGACTGGTTAGAAAAGCTAGTTGGTACAAGATTGTTTGCATTATTTACTTACCCTTTCCCTTTTAGCATATATGTCATTTGTGGTGCAAAGAAGAAAAACTTCATTCTATGTCTTGTAATTATTTATAAGTTTATATAAATACTTGTTATATACGGATCCCGTATGGAATTTTAAGCCCATATAGAGCAAAATGTGTACATTAAGTCTATAGCTAGTCGTGGATGATTAGAAAATGTTGGATTCATTATTGAATACCCGTTACATGAACTATGTCTGGCACAGTTGGGAACTGTGAGAATCGGATTCGTTTTGTTAAATTACTGATTTGTCATCCATCTTTTCCTGGTCTCAAATTGTTGTATTTGTTTGCTGTAGCTTCCACCATTTAGATTGCTTCTTTATCTGCATTTGATGGTTTTCACGAGTTCCGTAAATGATTTGGTTTTGATACGACTGTATTGTAATATGAATGTTTGAGTTTTTTTTTTTTTTTTTTTTTTTTTTTGAGCTGTGCTCGGAATTCTGAGTTGATTATTGTCTCTTATAGGGAGCATCCATTGCACTGAAAATTCCTATCGCATTTATCAGTGTTATTTTGCTTCCAATTGTGGGCAATGCTGCCGAGCATGCAAGTGCTATCATGTTTGCCATGAAGGACAAGCTGGTGAGTAAGCCAAGAGCCTCTTTGACAGCGTCTTCTTCCATTTTTGTTTTACTGCCCTTAGTTGTTAAATATATTATGCTTTTCTGCAGGATATTTCTTTGGGAGTGGCAATTGGGTCATCAACTCAGATAGCCATGTTCGGGGTAGGCACTATTTCTTTTTATTTTTTAATTGGCTTCTTTAAATGTCTGGTTATAGTTTATATAAACAAATAGGCGACATTGATGATCATAATTTTTGGGAATTGGAATTTTCCTTAGCTTTAGTATTGCAGCCACTAGATGCTAAGCTTTCCAACTTAAAAGATGAAAAGTGGTGATTGGGCTAGTTTTTATGGTACTACCACGGATAATGTGTATCTAAAGTGTTACTGATGTCCATGATGTAATTCTTGTCCTGTTTTCGGCAATGGGCTTCTGTTGTCATTTTAAATTTGTCGGAACAAACGGCAAGATCCAAAATCTAAAGACAAAAGATTAGAATGTTGACATAGAACCAAGAGAGAGGAGATAGAATTGAGATGGAAAAATAGAATCGATAGAGACTAGAAAGAGAAGGGGATTCCAAAGAGAGTATTTTAGAAAACAAGAACTCAAGAGGAGAGAAATATTGATATTCAATATCGTTACTTGCTGCAAAGCTATTGCTTACACCATTCCTGTTTTTGTTTTCGGCACGAGTCACTAGCTGCAATTTGTTTTGTCACTGCAGATTCCATTTTCTGTCATAGTTGGTTGGATCATGGGGCGTCCGATGGACTTGAACTTTCAACTTTTTGAGACCGCAACACTTTTTATAACCGTCTTAGTTGTGGCCTTTATGCTTCAGGTTCGTATCCTTATATGAGACTACGGAACAAAAGCGTTTAATAGTTATCTATAAAAAATCTCAATGGTTCGTAACCTTAGTAAGTTTGTTGGCAATACCGTATTTCATTGCAGGAAGGAACCTCTAATTATTTCAAGGGGTTAATGCTCATCCTTTGCTATCTAATTGTTGCTGCAAGTTTTTTTGTGCATGTAGATCCTTCTTCTTCAGATGGTCAGTTTTAACTTAAACTTCAATAATTTATTTATTTGCCTGTCCATTTCATAGTTTTGATTTCTCTGTCCTTATTGATTTCTTTCTTTTCCCTATAAATACACTTTACACACAATTATTCATTAACTGTTTTTGTGGACATTGAAATTTGAAACTCTTGCAGATGATTCACAATTAAAAACATAGTTCTACAACATACTCAAAGAAGAGGGCTAGGCTAGCTTATCCTTTTCTTGTGGAAGATGATTCAAAACTCATCTGTGGAAACAAAATGAAATGTTTTGTTTAAAATGGAAATGAGAAGGACACAACTCAATGAAGGGCTTAATTCATTCATAAGAAAGGGTACCTGCAAATGGTTTGGTTCCCCACTCTTGTTGTATATATAAATGTATTTATTTTTTGTGTTCATTTGTCAAACATTCCATCACTCTTCATCTCTTGTTTAGTGAATTCTCATTGTCCATGGATCTTGCTGGGCTCTCTTGCTTAGGAAGCTGAAAGGTCGGGCTATCCAGCCCTACCCGACCTGGGCTGGGCGGAAAAGACTTTTGGGCCTAAAGTATAGAGCCTGTCCGGGGGTTCGGGACAGACGAGGGCGGGCCAAAAGTGACGTGATTCGTGCGGGCCTGTTTGGCCTGGCCCAAACTTTCAGCTGTTGGTTGGGATGTTTAAACTTTACACTTAGGACGCATTGGGGGAAAGATAATGAGATTGGAAAGTGAAGTAAATAAGAATAAAGATGAACGATTCACTTTCTAGTGTTAACTTGTCTAAAGCAAAATTGCAAACAATCCAATTCACTTTTTATTGTTTACTAAACTTATGGGTGATGTTATCGATATAATTACTAAAATATCCTTTTACCTAATCAAATAATTATTGCAAAGTAACACGTGAATTTAAATGGTATTTAAGTACATTTTGGCATTCATTCTCGTTGATAGTGAATCAATACTGAAGAGGATATGTAAGGATTGGTATATCCTTTTCTGGTTCCTTTATATTGTGTGGGAATGGAAATCATTCTTAGTTCTCCCTATCCATTTCATGTGAGGTATAAATGCATCCTTAGATGCGGATTGGAAGCATATTATTTTCATCATCAGGTATAATTTTAAGTTATATATATCTACGCTTGGGAATGGTTTTTTTTTTTTTTTTTTTTTGATGAAGGAAATTGTATGAATTTGATGACATGGATACGTATCAATTGATAATAATAGATGTCAAAGAAAAAAAAAACGTATATTGATTGCTGACATTACATTTATCAAATACCAAATATTGGAAATCAGTATATATAAATATTTTTTGGCTGGAATATGGGAAATCATTACATATTTACGGATTTGTAGCCTTTCAGGAGTATTTACCATTACCACAATTATAAGTTGATATTATACTTTATGGTATGTAGATTTTGCTTAATAGAAAATGGTATTAATTATAGGTTTTATATAAAGGAAAAATGTACTATATAGCATATTTAATACATGCTTTTGAAGTAAACGGCATGTTTTAAAACTTAGTAAATTATAACACATTCTCAAATTAATACTGTATCTCCCAAAACTACTTTCTCTAAGGTCCCGTTCATATCACCGATTCGAGTTTTACTACAGTAAAAAGTTTTCAGAAACAGTCACATCTAACTTTTTTGCTAAGTAAAAAGCTCTCATATAAAAGCACATCTCAACTCGAATTAAAAACTCGAATCAGCGAACTAAACGGACCCTAAATGTCTGAAATGCCCCTACTATTTCTCTTCCTAATTTCTCGATCCTCTTCTCTCTCAGTCAATTCTG